TATTATTGTCGCCGTCTTCTTCGCGCTGACGCGCCGTGTGGCCGCGGGTGCTAACGTCGCCGCCACAGTCGTGGGGGGCCGTTTTTTCCCCCCGTCCGCTGCTATCGCGCGCATACCTCTTCGGACGCCGACGCCAATGCCGCGCCGAGACGTTGGCTCGCCGCGAGTCTTTGACCGCTGCCGACGATCGTCGTCTCCTTCGACCCGTGACGACGCCTCACCCGGCGGGCGCTCGAAATCGTCTGCTCACCCTCACTGTTTGAATATTAGCTACCTTTTCACCAAAAATTCGCATTTCCCGTGGGACATCCGGCTTCTGACGATTGTCGCGGTCAGGCGTGGGAATCACATGGTCGGACGCGGTTTACCCGCCGATCGCCGACGAAACACTTCGCTTGTTGACCTTGCCGGCAGACGCGGCGTCGCTTTTTTTTCGGATTACCAGGCGTCCGTCTAAAGTGGTTAGCTTATCTGACAATGTCGCCAGCTGCACGCATGTCTAGACCCTCGCGAAAAAAAAACATTTGATTTATCTATAACGTATGATGTGTTGCTGCTGTTTATGCAGTTACGCTCCATCAAATTACAATTTACAGAGGTCAGACATGTAGCACGTTGACCCCTCGTTCTTATAATCATCATTGCCCCCATAATTGGCTCATTAGTTGGTGTCAATATTGCTCCTTACAATAGTTAACTGTTAACGTGTCTACATCATGTGTTCGATCATTCACTCATTTGCTGTGTAAACAAATTCAATAATTGATATTTATACCCTAATCCATTGTGTTTGAGTAAATGAATATTATGTTGGGTATAGGAATAAATTAAAACTTGAAACCTGTTTAATGGATACAGTAATTATTTCAGCTGTTACTTAGCAGCACTTACACCTGGACTATAAATTAAACAGCCAGTGACCACCTGCTGGAATCCTTATAACACTTATAATTTCTAAATCTTATTTGCTTGTAGATATGTTATGATAATTGTATGATGTTTAGCTGAATCATTTATTATTAGTTTTGTAACGTTCAAACAAAAGTTTCAATATATTTTTTTTTTGTTTAGTGAAACTGTCACCACCCCAGAAAAGAAAGTAGCAGATTCGCCAGTGAAAGACAAGAAGGTGCCAGATTCTCCAGCTAAGAAAGTTGAATCTCCTGTGAAAGAAAAGGCTGCTGAAAATGGATCTGCCAAAACTGAAGAGGAAGACGATGAAGTAAAAGAAAATGGTGCTTCAGAGGAAGAAGAAGAAGATGAGGATGTGGTAGAAAAAGAACAGAATGGTGACACCAAAGGTTTGTTCTAGACAATATATAGATATCATTAGTTTATCTAAGATTCAATTAAATAACTTTATATTTGTTTGTTTAGATGATGAAGAAGAAACAGACAGTTGTCAAAAAGGTGTTAAGAGGAAATCTGGTGCTTCAGAAGCAGCTGTTGAATCTGAAGACAGTGAGAAGAAGGCTAAGTTAGAAGAAGCTGAAGAAGATCCAGCTACTGCAGAGCCCCAATTTGTCGAAGCGTAAACACATGTCAATGACATTAAATTATTCTAGACCCTGCCCTCCTTTTGTTATAATGATAACTACCATTTTGACTTCGAAGCAGATCTCTTTGATACATGAATTATAAACTCTCCATGTTCAATTTGTAACTGCTCCAAATTATAATATGACGTACAAAATGTTTCCTTTTCTCAAAACTCGACAGCTCCGCGGTACTTTGATAATTAATTAATTTTAAACTTAATTTTAAGTTAATGGTTTTTTTTTTACGTCTTAATAAACTTGGTCAATTTTTATTTTATATATTTTTACTATAGGATATGGTAAAATTATATTATACAAAAGTATAGTTTTAGACAAGGGATGGTTTCTTTTTAATTTTAATATTGATAACTATCAATATTTCTCTAAACTACAATGTAAGTAGCTAGAAAATTAGTAGTACCTTGTGGTCCCACTAGTAGGTTTTTTGTATTATATTCTACTTTAAATTTAAATAAACAATTTATCTATAAGTTCAAAGTGGAATACATTTTTAAAACTATAATATATGGTTGTAATTACAATTTACCTATTTAGGATAATACAGTTCTAGTATTAAATATATATACCAACGGTAATTATATATATTATATAGTCTATAAAGTCCTACCTATTTTATTTTTTTTACCCTTGTGTACACCCTATTTCATTCAATTTTTCTTTGTATAAATTTGGTGTAATTTTTATGATTATTTAAAAATATTTTTCAAAGTTCTGTTTTGGTAATACTAAAAACTGTGTATCTTACACAGTCATAAATTGTACTGTACTGTATCTGTTTTAATTAATAAATTGTCTAGAATGTATAACGTGCATTTGTGATTTATTAGATTAACTAAATCCTATTCCATACCAAATTTTTTTTATTTCTTGAATTGTATTTTATTAAAATGTTAATATTAATATATGGTTATTACCTAAGTAATAATAATAATAAAAGGTACTATAACAAGTGCTAAAATTGATGTGCTTTAATATTAATTTTTCATTTAATTATAATTTGTATCCATTTGTCAAGTATTATATTATAATGAAATTTGTATAATAGTCATAATTAAGAGAACAATTGTTTTTGTTTTGTGACATTTTTAGTACAATAAGTATAATGGGTATCTACTTAGTATTCCAATGTTCATTAGCATTGCAATTTACATTTTTTTTCTTCATAATTCAATTACATTAAATTTGTTACCAAATTAATTGGATTTATATAAAATATTTTTCATTTACAACATAATAGATAAAGAAAAATAACACTGCTGTTAAAATTATCTGCTTTTTTAAATAATTTTATTTTATGCACAATATTTCTTTAGTTAATTATTGAAGTGTTTGATTTATTACACATGAACATATTCAATCTATTTTGGTTAACAGTTTCATGATTATTATGTACTAGGTATTTGGTCTTAGAAGTGTGTTTTAGGCAGGAATTTCAATGTATTTGGTATTTTTTTCTAATGGTTTATAGAATACATGTTGTGGTACAAATTTACTTCATAATATTATCTTTTTTTAAATGATAAACTGCATTTTTTGTTTTTAACAGTTTCGTGGTATTTTTATGAAAATTCATATTAAGAAAATGTATTTCAAGATCCCTCTATAATTGTATTTATATTTTACTACCAAACAAAGTTAATCTTATCTCGCCTTTAAATTCCATTTAACTAATAATATTGATATGATGTCTAATATATATGAGATATATTGCTGGTCGCCGAATCAACTGAACTCGGCATCAATATATTGACTTCATCACCGTATTATCTTACATAATTTACATAATACGTATCTTCGTAGTAGGAATGTTACATTTTAAAAGATTTATGTTCCTAATATGTTTGTTGTAATTTTAAGTTTTTTGTGCATTATTTTAAATATCTTGACTTTTTCATAGAGAACTTTCTTATTTACTTCGGGTGTCAATTCCCAGCTCTAATTATAAGTATTTTTGTTTATTAAAACCATACTAAAAGGTCATGCTAATATTTTGTACTTAAGTAATAGTCAAGTATTTAATGAATAACAATAATTCAATTTGCAATGGCGAATGCTAAGTGCATATACAATGTTAAGATTAAAATTTTTTTTATGAAAATACCTTAAATTTGTTTTTGGCTATTAAGTTGTTAGGTTGCATTGATTATTTTAATGTAGTCACTTAAATATAATGTAGACATGTAATCACCAGTCATGAAGATGATTTACTTAGTAATATGTACTCGAGCATACAATATAATGTACTCTATGGTATTGTGTCTATAATTTGTACAAAATAACTTGAAAATAAAATAAATTATCCAACCGTCTATTTTTCAAATTGTCTAAATACACTTAAAACTATAAGTATAGTGGTGGGTATACGTATAAACTTAAATATTTAAAAATGTATGCAAATATATTTTCTTGTTCAGTAATAATTGATAGCTTAAACATATAATAACAAAAAAAAGCTACAGTTTATTTATTAGTGTTTACTATAATGGATCTTTAAAATAATATAATCCTAATCCTTGAAGTTGTGTTAAGTATATGAAAACATTTTGTGCGACGAAATGCCAACAATTCCTTTCAGAAATCTGAACATGGAAAGCATGTTTTAAATGTCGAATGTCGATATATTGGTTATAATAATATAAACTTGTAACAAATTACAATTATCGTGTAGAAAGTAGAAAACGTATAGGCTTGGCCGGTTGGTTTAGGCGTGATGTCATGGAATATATTATAATGTTATGTGTTCACTGTTCATCTCATGACAGCAGCTTGGATGATACTAATTTTACTCAATTTACTACTCGACAGTAAACAGGTTATTTTTTCAGATAGCAGAAAAATAATCTTCATTTTCAATCGAAGTCGGGATAAATGTAACGTACAAGTACCACATCGCCATTCGCCACTCAATATTGTGTTCAATACTTAGGTGTACTTTACATTTTTATAAGGAAATTATTAACTATGAACAATTTGTCTTATAACTTGTGTGTATGGAATCGCCAAATGGCTTTCGGGAAGACACAAGTAGGATTGGAGAGTCGACTATTAATAAGTCGTAAATTATTTGTTATTACTAGTAAAGGTCTATGCTAATAAGTAATAACTAATTAGCACTGAGCAGTGGTTTACGAGTATTATGATATGATAATTTTATTTTGTTTGAACACTGAACGAGACCGGTCGCCATTTTTGTCGTTATTGGCAATTGCCATTCCCCGGCGGCGGTGAGGCCGTGAGGGTGACTGAGACGGAGACGGAACACGGACAGACCGCCGGTGCTCGGTGGTGGCATACGAGCTACGGGCGAGTGCCGACGGTAGTTGTTGTACTTACAGCATGATGGCGGTGTGAAGAGAAATCAAGCGGTGGCGGTGCAACGTGTGGTTTTTCTTCCAGGGTCCGGAAGTCGTCTCCTCCACGGTTCGCCCGCAGCTGGTCGATCGGCCATTTTGAGAATTTTTGGTCGGGGAAAAAAAAAGGAAAAATTCTTTCCCTATCAATTTTTTCTATTGACCATTTTGTTTATGTATTTCCGTGATTTTAATCCCATTACCGATCACCGTAGTCGTTGATTAAACAATAATCAATTATGACAGTGCCCGAGCGTTTGCGAATATCGCCGTCGTTCCGCCGAACCAGCCTCGTCCGATTCTGAGGTAAGCCCGTGATGATACACTTTAAGGCTTGATTACCCTGACAGTATAGAGACGATTTCGATTAAAATATAGCGTTGACCGTGCAGTGGACGTTCGGCGCAGCACACTAAAAATCAGCTGAACGTCGTTAGTTAATGACAACTCGTTCGTTGGGAGCCCTGGAAGGTAAAAAAGCGAACGCAATGGGCAACGCCGCGACGGCTAACAAGAAAGGCGACTCGGCTGAGAGTGTCAAAGAGTTCCTCGACCAGGCCAAGGAGGACTTCGAGGAGAAGTGGAAAAAGAACCCCACGAACACGGCAGCCCTTGAAGACTTTGACCGTATCAAGACGTTGGGTACGGGCTCGTTTGGCCGTGTCATGATTGTACAACATAAGGCTTCCAAGGAGTATTATGCCATGAAAATACTCGATAAACAGAAAGTGGTGAAGTTGAAACAGGTAGAACACACGTTGAATGAAAAGAGAATTTTACAAGCAATCAGTTTCCCGTTCCTCGTCAGTTTAAAATACCACTTCAAGGACAATTCCAATTTATATATGGTGCTTGAATATGTGCCGGGAGGTGAAATGTTCTCTCACCTGCGAAAGGTTGGCCGATTCAGCGAGCCACATTCGCGTTTTTACGCGGCTCAAATAGTGCTAGCATTCGAGTACCTACACTATCTTGACCTAATCTACAGAGATCTCAAGCCAGAAAACTTGCTGATCGATTCGCAGGGCTATTTGAAAGTGACTGACTTTGGTTTTGCGAAACGTGTCAAAGGGCGAACATGGACCCTGTGTGGTACGCCCGAGTATTTGGCGCCTGAAATTATATTAAGCAAGGGATATAATAAAGCTGTCGACTGGTGGGCTCTTGGAGTTCTAGTTTACGAGATGGCTGCTGGTTATCCACCGTTCTTTGCCGACCAACCTATACAGATATACGAGAAAATTGTCTCGGGCAAAGTACGTTTCCCATCACATTTTGGTTCTGACCTAAAAGACCTACTGAGGAACTTGCTACAAGTGGATCTTACTAAACGATTTGGCAACCTGAAGAACGGTGTCAACGATATCAAAGGACACAAGTGGTTTGCATCAACAGATTGGATTGCTGTGTTCCAAAAGAAAATTGAAGCTCCATTCATTCCTAGGTGCAAAGGACCGGGAGACACAAGCAATTTTGACGAATACGAGGAAGAAGCATTGAGAATCTCTTCGACGGAAAAATGCGCCAAAGAGTTTGCTGAGTTTTAAGGTACGCAAACTGTCTATTTTATTTAGATACATTTATACATTTTGTTTTTGCAACCTCAGTACACAATTAATATTAAAATAGGAGGACCAAACTGTTTATGAGAAATTCTGCTTGTATCAATATTATTATGATTTAGTAGGTTTTTACTAAGATGGCTTTGTTTAGCCAGTGGCGTTCGCAGGAAATCAATTTTGTTCAAGAGTCAGAAAACTCAGATATATTGTTATTACATCATTGTGTGAATATCTACACCATGCCGAACTAAAATGACAGTGGTACATTTCATACATATTAATATACTTGGGTATATTTATACAATATCAAAATCTTGCTCTACCTTAGATAAGATACAATCTCTTTTTATATTGATTGTGTTCTTTTGTTAACTTGTTTACAATATCTGAATTAATATATTTCTTTTGATCCTTTCTTGTTGTTAGATTTTGACAAATTGGGACTTTAGATACATAATAGATAATTGAAATATAGTTATTTGTAAAAATAAATAAACATATATATTATATAATATATTATAACAATAATAATAATAATAATAATAATAATAAAAATAATTATTGATAATTAACTAAATAAAAATATTACTAGTTGTTACTTATATCATATTATTATTAAATAGTGTATTCTGACCTCTGCGTACACCACTGCCTAAGTTTTCTCAAACCTTTTTATTTACTCAAAATAATCAAATATGGTTTAATCAACTATTAAAATGAATAGAACAATTTTTTTTTAGCCAATAATTTAAGTGTATACGTAAAGAATTTTCCTCATCATAATGTATTATTTTATGTTTAAAATCGGTGCCATTTGTATTGAACCACCATTTGAACAACAGGTATCCGATTTCGTTGCTTTTATTATCTGTTTAAACATTTTAAAGAGCTTGTCTAATATTAATTACTGTATGGTAATTATTATTGTTAATCATTTTTTTTCGGATTTGGATAGTTCCTAGTGAAATCACATTATAAATCTCCAATGTTAATGCAATTTTTTGTTCATATAATAATAATGACAAAAAAAAAGTAAAATATATTTTATGTTCTCATTGATTAAATCTATTATGTAAAATGCTAAAATTTTGAAAACAAGTTGCATTTAAATAATGTAAAATTTACTTTTATGTTTTAGTTCAAATGTAAAGTTTCTTAAAAACAAATTTGAGTAATTGTTAATTTTTGTATAGACATTTTTAACTTGTTATATGTTATCTACACTTGCATATTTTTGATGTATTATTTGGAATTCACTAAGAACTATTCATTTTGTATTCTGTTTTGTTTTTCTTTATACATATGTATCTATTTGTTTATTTATTTTTAATTTTGTGTCGAGTGCAATGCTATAATGTGTTAAGTGGTTTTTTTTATGTAGAGTTCACACTGAAAATATACTACATAATATACAATAATAATTAATATAATTATAATTATAGACTTAAACAGTTAAAGATATTCTAGATATTAGCATTTTATTAGGTTTCTTAAAAAAAAAATATTTTGTCCCATTAATTATACCTATTTAATATATTATAATGTTAAATTGGCTTGCCAACATTTTGTGACAGAATACTAATACCCATGTATGTATTTTTTGTTTATATATATACTAAGCTCTAACTGATATTTCATTTTTCGTGCGGAGTTCAGGGTATGTTTCCCGGAGTTAGAAGCATCTACATATAACAACTTGTACTTAACTTAAAATTATGTTTTTCTTTAGGTATCAGTCTTGAAATGGTGTCAGCTCTTATGATTTTAAGTTATAATAAAACTAAAAATAATTTTAATAATAATCGCTTTACTTATCTACTTATTTATTACACACCTACAGTCTTTTTGTGATTTCTCCTAAATTAATTACATTAATTATGTTTTATTTTAATTATTTGTTTGTCATTTTGTAAGAAGCACAATCTATGAAATCATATTCTTGTTACCAATATTTACCATGTTTAGATTTTAAATGTGTAATAATCTAAAATTTAGTCTAAACGAGCATAAAAGATCCCTAGTCAGTATTTCAAACAACTAAAATAATAATTATTGTTTTATAATCTTTCACTTTATATTGTTTAACTTTTGTTTTTCGATTGTCTATTTTTTTAGTTACAATTGATGAGTATTATTTTAAATTATTATTATGTTTTTATTATGATTAATTGTGATGTTTTTGTTTTGTGTTTTAACAAATCATTAGGCTATATTATGATAAAATTAAAAAAATAATATATCTAATATTTTAGATGGCATTTAATATTAGGTATTGTTTGTGTATGAATTTATGTTGGTTTTATTTATATTTTATTTTGTAGTGTTCTTTTAGATCTATCATAATAATAATAATTATTATAATACTATGCTGTATATATATTATATTTTATTAAAATCATTTAAAAATAATATTTTTGTTGTTTTTATGTATACAGTTGTATACCTACAATAACATACAGCACAGTTTACCTGAAACCCAGATATATAAGGTGGAGAATATTAAAAGCACAGTTTAAAACAGGAATGCTGTATTTCGACATAAAATAATATAAGAGTTAAACAGTTTTAGTCATTGAGTTTACAATTCAAATAGTCTAATTAAAAGAAACACGTACAGTAAGCAATTATGCTAATCTATAACATTTTATAATCTGTTAACATTCTACTGAAGGTGGGATAACATTCACAAAACAATGGATGGATTATGCTTAAAATAATCATTGACTTGTAATATGTCTATATATATAATATATATATATATATTTTTATATTATTATATATATATAATTCATATATTTATATAATATTTAGTATTTATTTTAATGTAATAGTTTGTAAATATAATTTTTAACAAACTAAAAGTTTAAGGTGTAAGAAGCTTAGGAAGCATATCACTGCGACGTCGGCGTCCTGGACCACCAGCAAAATTAGCTGCTGCCATGCCCATTAAATGTTTTGCTGCTTGTGTGCCTGAGTAGCCTCGGCTTAAGCCCAAATCAAGCCCACGCTTGGAACTGAAAAACAATTAAAACAATTAAAAAAATTGAAATATTTCAAGTTGTACCTAGTATGAACTGTGTTTAATTCCTATTAAATGCTTGAAGATCTCAAATTGATTCTCTATAAGTATTGAAAGGTCAAAGTATGCAACTTAGCCTTTAAAATATTTTATTAGTAGTGAAATTTACTCACAGGTAAGTTATATAATTATATTGTTATAAACTTTAGTTTATGGATAAAGTTGTTGTATCCCCTCAGGAAGTTTAAAAGTGTATCAATGTTTTGCAATGTTGGATAATAACAGTACCCATACCAACCTTTGATTTAACACACTATATCTGTTTTTATACTCGGGGAATTTTAAAAATATACCTTGTTTTTTCTTGTTTGAATATTTGAAGGTATAATACATTTGGTTTTAATAAAATATGTAATTTGTTTGCTGCTTATTAAACCAAAACATGCATTTCTTCACATATATTAATAATTATTTATTTGTTTGAAACAAATACACTGTATATTTATACTTTTGTATATAGTTAACCAGCAATCTAAAATGTTAATGAATCGTCATTATGGAATAATTATGTACTACAAATTATATAATCTATAAGCTGGTTAGGAACATACTATGTTAAAGTATCTTGAATTGTAGTTTTGCTCACTACCTAGTAAGATATTATATAATAGAACAGTTGAAACTAGAAAGGAACAAACAAGAAATAGCAAGTCTGGGCATGAACAAATTAAAAAGTTAAAGTTAAATTATAAAAAACTATCATTTTTTAACTTATAACTTTAGTTAGTATTGTTTTATCATTGAATTGCCCTATCCGTTATTATTTTTTTTATCAATTTCTTTAATATGTATTATTTTTACTATATATTGTTGTTTTTTTTGTGAAATTTAATTCCTTTTTATTCTATACTATTATTATATTTTATTCTTTTTATTCTTAACTTGAAGCTTTTATAAGTTGTACCAATATAATATATATTTTAAATTTAAACTTAACTTACAATTTCTATATTAATTTAACTTAACAAGTTGAACAAAATAGTTAACTTGCCTAGCCTTGATAAATAGTATCTAAAATTTTATTTTAGTCATAAAATTATACTTCTTAATAATAGTTAACTATCTCATAAAATAAATAATAATATTATTATATTATTTATTTTTATTAATATTGATTATTAAATTTGAGTATTCAACAAAATATAATTTCTGGATATGGAAACATTAAATTAGGTAGTTATATTGGTATGATATTGGTAGAGACCAACTGCACAAGCACAATTACAATTAGGTAGGTACATATGCATATTTGTAACTTAGATATTTTATACATAGTCACTTACAGTGAGTTTAATAATTGTTTTCATGTTTAAATGTTTTATTATTTTATATGTGAGTTTCTGATTGGTGTGGTATAACGTTTTTGTGTGTTCTGGGGAGGGGGGGGGAGTTTAAATTAGTATTAGTAATAAGTATTCACCCCAAAATTGTATATTTTTGGCATATTGCTCATGTGAATATAAGTTGATTTGAAATTTGATTATTTTGTGGCAATGACCTAAGTTTAACTGAAATTGTATAGGTAACTTTATAGATACTATTTTTACCTGTGTCTAGTTTGGTGTTATAAAATTTAAGATTGTGATTTGTGAGCTATTTAAAAATATATATTAACTCAAATAATATGATATTTACTTACATGGTTACTAGTAATGCTAATGAGCAGGATTGCAATAAGGTACTTTTTAGTTTTATACATAAAATGCAGAATGCTTATCCTTACTATGTAGTTATCCATCTAATAAATTAATGTCCGTATACACAATGCATCATCACTAACATGTTATATACTTATATATTTTACTATGCTCCTTACCTATTATAAAAACTACCAAGACAGAACATATAAAAATTGTTAGCGATCTAAAACTGTTAAGTATATTAATTATAAATACAATAAAAAAATAAGGTATTAGCCATTAGGTATTAGCTAGTAAGTTAAGTAGGTAACTATTTATTTGTACTTAAGAACATAGGGCAGTACACTAGTACCTAGGTAGGTACCTAATATTTCTAATAATTAATGTGATACACTAATAATATTTAGTTAGATATTAAATCTCATTGGTAACTATCAATGAATTCAAACAATAGATTTTTTATAGACGTCTCTTATTTTTTTGATTCAAACGTTTAGGACTTCGTACATAGTAAAAATTCTTGAAAATTGTATTTAACTGTATTGAATAAATTGAAAAATCATTGTACTTATGACATGCGTTTAGATAAAAAACCACATCCAAGCCGTCTTGTTTAAGATTTTAAATATTTCAAACTCACTTAAATCTCCTATATAGGTATACTTTTAATATAGGTACATAGTCTCATAATGAATTATTTAAATTTTAAAACTAACATGTAAAAATAATGTTCTTGAGGATTAATTAAGTTTATAATTGTCGTTTTATAGGGAAAATACTTTTTAATTTGTTTTCAGATCTATTAATGATTAATCGATATAATGATTTATTCATCCTTCCTCCTCAATCATTTTCATTTATGATACAAACAACAGGCTACAAAACATTTTTAATGATGTTAATTTATAATATTACCTATGTTTCACTAAGTTTCATGAATATTAATATCTATTGGAGAACTGAACAGTCAATACAGAGTAATAATATTCCCGTTATGGGTATTGCAAAATTTAACCGACAGCTGAGTTGTTGAAGGTTAGCAGTAGGTAGGTATCTACGAAATGTAACTATTAATGATTGACCAAAGTAAGCAATATTTCCATATAAGATAAAAATCATATTTCTCTATGAATACTAGTTGCTACCTATATCATACCTAAACCTAATTATACTTATACTTGGCACGTCATCAGTCTAGTAGGTATTTAAGCATATAAAAAGCTAATATTGAATAAATTTAATAGTGGTACTAAAAGTAGGTACCTACCTAAATAATAAATAGATTAAAAGTATTATGAAAGTTGATGGTGTATTATAACATTCCGGATTGTTCAGTTTCCAAAGTGTAAATTGAAACATAAAAATATCGGTATGGACGATGACGTATGTTTGTGTGCACTACGCGTGTGATAGCGTGGTACCTATATACGTACTTACTTACCTATGTGAACTAGCAGTACTACAAATTTAAAATGGTTATAGGTAGTATGCTTTCGTAAAAAAACAACTAAAATATCTAAATAGCTAGGTACCTAAATGTCTCTATATGTCATCGCCGTTAACTAATTATTTTTGTCCTATGGTACGAAATTTTAAATTTAGTAGAAAAAAATAAAAAATAGAGATGTTATTGTATCTTGGTTATTACTTATTAGGTAGTAGTTTTTATAATTTTTTCTCGAAATTCTTGATGAAGTTATGAAAAAGCTTAGGGGATTAATAATAAACGACAATATTATATTTATAGCATTATTAATTATATATTTATATTATGAACGTTTCATCTTGAGATTTTGTTTTTTCAATTAAGGTCAATGTTGTGGAACTAGGTTGTTAAACTATATGTGTTCAATTGGACCGAGTTCAATCTAAACTTAACTAGAATCCCAGCGAGGCAAGACACAATTGTAAGTATCAAAAACTCCGGTTCGGCAAAGCTAACTAAATAGCATTAATAACAAAATGTACGCTTACGTTTGTGTTGAACCAATGAAGGTACCTTTGCATTTATCGAAAATATTTTTCATAAGTAGGTACTAACTAGAATACTTACCAAGCGCGTCCATCAATCAAAATCTAGTGTAGTGTTTTCTTCAGTAATTATTTATAGTTAATAAAACGATTATCATTTATCTTACACCCCCTAATGGGTACCATCGATAACTTCCTATTAGATTTATTAATAGAGATTTAATGCAATTTAATGATTTGCACCACATTGTATTATTTCATATAAAAACGTATGCTTATACCTACTTAAACTTTAGAGTCTTAAAGCTAAGTTTTGTCATAGGTACCTATTTTGTATATTTAAATGCACTTACAAATTAAATTAAAACGATGACTCGTGTGTATTACCTCAATTTTATTAACATTGTACTAGTTAGTTTTTAACTAAACTTTTAAGTTATTTTAGAAGTCATAAAATATGACCTAAAGTTATGAATTTTACTTGTGTGCTTTTACCTTTAGGTAGGTACCTATTATAATACTATAATAGGTATTATGTTTATGTACTAATGTACTATAGCCTATAGGTACCTACTGTTTTCGACCACTTCATATCTACCTACATAACTACCTAGGCGTCCTAACTATTAGTACTTTATAAAATAAAAAATTCATAAGGATAAATACTTTAAATACAAGAGTTTAAGACTAAAATCACAGTTAATAGTTAGTGACTAGCGAGTGACACACCACAAAATGTTGATTCACTTCATTTTTACATTTTAAATACTTTTAAGTTAGATCTGATAACTAATTCACAAATCGTTCAAAAATTAATTTTTGTAGTATATAACAATTCTCAAAAAAATAAATTGTAGACAAAAAATATTTTTCCAAATGTTGATTTAGATACATTAACATTTTCAAAAAAAAAAATCTGATTATTCTGATTACCTCTTAACAATTTAGGTCCATTAAAAAGGGTAGTTTTAATTTGAAAATAATAAAATTGTATTGACACATGACGTTCCTTAAATTACATTAAAATCTATAAGTGATTGAAATTATGATCTTTGGTTTTGAAGTAAACTAAATAATTTTAAAAAACTATAAATGTAATACAAAATATGGGGTAACCACTAACCGTGCTTAGCGGTAATTGTTAAATCACTCTGTATATTATTTTAACAACGGTGCTGGAGTGATGCAAGTGGGGAGATCACGATTTCCTAGCTCAGCTGGATCAGTGACTGGTTTTTGTATTTTGAACTCTGCATGCTTACAACCGGATAAGAAATTATTTCGTCCTATTTAACAGTGTAATACTAGAGTAATGGCACTGGAGTTCGCTCTTAAGCCTTCCCGTATACGGGTCGTGTAGTTGTTATTTTCGTATCAATACAAAATATTCAATACAATGTTGCCCAATGGTAACAGTCGGTGTTATCCACTACTGCTACAAGTAAAATATTTTCAACTTTTTTAGTGACTTTTTAGACTGCCTGTTAAAGTTTTTACAAATAACATCTATAATTGATATATTTGATTGAAAAGTAAAATATGCTTACATGGAATTTATATTTACCTATTATTTATATAATTATATACAGTAGTCGCCGCTTATTGGACTCACTTTGGGACCCGACAATTTGAGTCAATTAACCGAATGAGTCAATAAGGCGAATGACTCAAAAACCTAACCTAACCTAACCGTGCGAATCGGGACCAACCGTTTTGAGTCTAATATGCGAATGAGTCAATTAACCGTGAGTCCAATAAGCGGCGACCACTGTATTGTATTTTATTATATATTGTCTATCCAATGATAGTTCATTTTATCTAATCTATAATCTAATAAGTACTATTATTTAATTTTTATTTAGTTGTATTTTAACTGTTGACCGCTGCAGTAGTCCACAGGTCAATGTTAAATTTGTTTACATTTAACTACGACGGGGATTGAAATTTAGGCTTTGAGTTTAAAACTTGTGTCACATAATTGCCTTATTATATTATAATTGGTATTGTTTCATCAAAAGTCAATAGGTATACCTATTTTATATCAAACGTTTTTATAGATGAAGGTGGGTACTAGCAATATTAAATATCTAATGAGAAATATGATTGCAAATTTAAGGTCGTACCTAAATAAAAATTTATAAAAATTGTATGCATAAACCAATCATATTAAATTTGTATGTTAAAAAAAAAAACATAAAAATGCACCGAAAAAGATAAATTTGGGATAGGTACTCTAGGCCCTAGGGAATAGCGCCTATTCGAATAAGCAATAAACGTATTATATCATGTCATGCTTCCGAGTTTTTTCACTGTTATTACATGTAAATATTATATTTTATAGTCGACCAATAATAAAAAATCACAAAGAGTTTTATTTTTTGTGTCTATTATATTCTTGGAAATATTAATGAAGTATCTATGTTCGCTGTGTAGGTTGTAGATTATACATTTGGTTATTTCAATAATGATGATTTATTTATTTTTCAAATACATTCAGTATTTGCATTTCCAGAAATGAAATACGTAGTGGGTAGGTACCGGGTAGGCAAATACAATGATAATAATATGTTGTTGATAACTGATAAGCTATGGCTGTTGAGAAGTCCTTTTCGACTTTTGTGTTGGAATTTCACTGAAATGACTTCCGTCGTATATACAATATGACTTCCGTCACTAGAATTGTACATGCTTGAACTATATTAATAGAACCTTATAGTATATGAAATATACCCTTCAGACACATTGTGTCAACGATGTGACAACTATTCCAATAGTAACAATAACGAGTGATAGTTTATTTAAAGTTAAGACGAATGTACAACAATTTGGTGGGGTACCCCTGTATCACTTAAGCCCACTACATCAGAATTCTTAGAAAAATATCCCACTTAGCACTTTGGGGCTATATGAAATTTAAATTTATGTTGTCATTTAAAAGAGAAAAAATAACTTGTAATTGTTTGTGGGTAAGATCGTTTATCTTATATTCGATTAAAATGAGTTCGCTTAACAATGACATGGGTTAATTTTATAAAATAAAAATCATCATAATAAATGATTATGATCAAATAATGATAAAATAAATAATTATGACATTCTCATCTATTGAAGTAGGTACTCACCAAGCATGCTCATTCCTCATTTCCTCGTTTTTCAGTTTCTGATTTTAGAAACCTCAGTTTACTTTAACATGGTATTTTAAAATAGAGAGGTTTAAGAGGTTTAATGCCATTTAAGGTGTGTACTGTGTAATTATTTTTCAAAACGAAGAACACCCTTATTTTCTAAATTCATAAGTCAATTATTTTTATGTTTTTAAATCAAAATTAGAATAAGCAATTTCTGAGTTCTTAAACTTTATTATGTGCTAAGAATGTCCGTGATGATACCTACCATTACCGTGGTAGGTTTTTGAAAATCATCGATTTTAATTATAAATTAATATTAAGTAATATACCTTAGTATTAATATTTTATACTTGTAAAAATTGTTTGAGTATAACTTAAGTGCCTAGGTAGGTTACCTACTACATTGATTATTACTGTTATACCTATTACATTACCTATATTATATTAATAGATTCATTACTATTCTAAAAATGAGAGCATGCCTGTTGAATCACCTTCTATATTATCAAACTTATTTGTAAAATACTAGTTCTATTTTCTGAAATACTAACCCCGAATAAATTATTATTATTAATGTAATGTACTGTAATGTAGTACCTAATGCGAAATTAGAAAGTACTTTATTATTATTTTAAAATTGTTATTCAAAGATAACTTATTATTTGTAATTACACTATAAAATCACAGCTATTCTATTATTTCTTTATACCTATGACTAATGACTATTGTATATTATGCAGTGAAAATGGTTACAAGTAATCCGCAGGTAGGTAGGTACACTCAATAACTTGATATCGTCACGTATTATGGTAAGCGCCCCATTAAGTGTATATTATAATATATCCTATTATCATATTTATCACGGTCTACTGTAAAATCAAATACATCCATAGGTGTAGCTGGCTATATTTTTTTGAATCCGTTAAACTAAACGTATTTGATTCTAATCTCTTGGTATACCTATGCCATATGGTCATAGATATATACATAACTACATAAGCATTATTGTATTATTTTTATCAGTGCAGGAATTCTATTCTATAGGAGAGTGACGGATGTCAAAACAAATAGGTAGTGTCATAGTTTCCAAGGTCCTTATATGGATACGACATAATAATACTAATATATGCATTTTTACATTTATATACAGAGTGATTTACTAAGCATAGCTAGCCTTCTTTTATCCTTTAATAATTAATTATTACAAATTTTTATTTTAAGAATTTTAAAGTACCTACATTGAGATTTAAGGACCATATTTTAAAATACTAAGATATTTATATCATTAAAGGAGGGTCCTATGGCGATACAATTAATTTTTTTCAAGTGATAACTTTGTCCCATAAATTGTTTAGCAAATAATGAAATAATGAAATAAATAATGAAAATATTGATGCATTAAACCAAGAATTTGAATTGGTTGTTTTTCAGTTATTGTAGTTACGTAGTTAGGATAATAGTCCAATAATGTTTTAGCATAAAATAAATAATTATTGTAATATTTAGTTTATTATTTATTAGTTATAATACTCAGACAATTCTAACTAACTACACATTTTTAATAAATTAATATTAATTACTATTTTTTGTAGATCACCATAACCCTTACATTATTCAACCCTATTATCATATACCTTATATCCCGGGTACACAGGTTAGTAACTTAGAAAGTACCAACCCGATTTTAAATTGTTATCTTAGATCAACATTTAAACTCTTCTTAAATGTTATAAACAATTTAAGAACTTGAAAATATGATTTTTAAGTATTTAGGTAAACCAATAATTAAAAAACAAGCATTTGAATAAATGCCCAATTAAATACAAAAATTGGGGTTCGGAGCATACACTATGCATCACTCTGTATATATTCTGTATGACATCTTCATCGCGCGTGTGCGTTGTAATACATATTTTTTTTGCTAAACGGTTTTTTGTAGCGATCGTGCACCATTTTTTTTTCCATTTGACTGATGGAATATCGAACACCAATATAATAAATACCAACGCCTTTACTGCAGCAGCAGAGCATATTATGTCCGCATAGAAAACGCGTTCCGGCTTGAACATATTATTATATTATAGGTTTTTCGTTCGATCATAATAATATATAATTGGTAACTCTTAGCTGTTTTGATTTTCTCACGCTAGTTTCACTCGTTGATTAACATATATCTGTAGGCACTCACGTTGTAAAAAAATATATAAAAATAATTTTAAAATATTCTATGCCTTATATAGTTATATTCTTTCATACGTCATGTCTAACTGAACAGTTATTAAACTGAACCAAAATAATATGTCATTGAATTATTAAATAAATTATTTCTGAATATTGTCAGAAAACTAATTTAAAATATTGTAATATTTATATTGAGGAAATCTAATGAACTGTGTGTCTGCTGCATAAAATATTTGTATAACCATACATTATTATTTTTTTTTGTTATAAACATAACTTTTATTTTATACTGTTACGGTTATCTGGAAACTAACAATCTGATCAAATAATATTATTCGCGTAGTGCCCTGCAGCCGTATATATATTTTCAGTGCCCACAGTATAAAACTATATTATTGCTTTTATACTCTTATGATTGAGAAATAAATCCGTTTTGGAAAAACAAACGAATTCCACAACGTTGATATCTTAAATAGTTAATGTTGGCCTTACTTTTCCAATTCATTAACTCTCATGATATTTTGGCCTATTCGGGCTAATAATTCCAACATAACTTCAGGGTCTCCGTCGTTTTCTGATGACAAGTACGCGTTATTTTGCCTGAAATAAAGGAAATCGACGGTTATAAAATATATTATTTAACTTCAGAAGTAAAATAACTAAAACTATTATAACAACAAAAAAGAACAAAATAGTATCCACATTTTTTTTTTGTTGGTATAGTCTATGCATTTTAAATGTCGAACACAGCAGGGAAGGGTTAAGATTCACAAGCCCACATGCTATGAAATGTACATTTCATTATTTCAATGCTTTAGCAGTAATCAATGATCTTAATCAGTTCTATTAGTATTTAGTAAAAGTGTTGTAACTTGTAACTTTTGTATGTCTTAGCTTAACTAAATGACCATTTCTTTGATATCAGACAAATTTTCCTTTAAAAAAAAAGTTTATATTTTGTGAGTATTCAAATTTTTGGATATTCACCCGTAAATTAACGAATTAATCGATAAATATTCTTATTTTATTGTTATTCAAAAACGAATAACCGTAGATACTTGAAATGTTTCGGGAAAAAAATAATTAACTACTTACTATATTACAAACACTGAAATAAATAACTTTAATAGCAACTACATCATAAAATATAAAACATAATTAGTAGTTAGCATAATTGTACCAATAATAAAAGCTGATAGGCAGTCTTTGCTCAGAATGATTTTATATTATTGAATTAAAATGTGACATATCCATTACAGTAACCCACACAACACCTTATGTACTGCAGAGTCACCTTTTTTTATTATTATTTATTTGTATCGATGTAAGCTATTCAATTTTTTTTTAATGATAAAGCTTAGCCACTTTCTTAATGTTTATGCTCGTGTGTGTTCAGAGACTTATGAGCACAATTTTTGATTCGTTATCTATCAGGTTATATGATATCTGCAGTAAACATCCAAACTTTGAAAATATTGACATTGGTCCCAAAAATTAATATATTTTACAGATTGTAAATGTAAAAAGAAAAAAGAAAATACTAAAAAGTTTTAAATTTTGTTTATATTTATGTTTTCAAAGGAGCTTTAATCATAACATACCATTTTCATGTTTTAAAACTTAATGTCTTAAAAAGTTTAGAAAAAGATGTGGATCATTTTACATCCGACGTCGGAATACTTAAATCAGTGTTCGTCAAAAAAACTATACGATTAACCCGCAATGATTAAAGTTTGAAAGGATTGTATAGGTATATACGAGTTTTTCTCAGCGAGGCCCAGTTGTTTTTTAGATATTAGTTTAAATAAAGAATAAAAAATAAATAAGAAACACGCCGGCTCATCCGCATGCATACGGCGAGTGTCAAGAAGATCCGACATACGATGATCATATGTAAGTGCCTATTAATTAACTAATCGTCAGATTTCCCCGATGACACTGCAGTCTGCAGCAGTAAACAAACCGTGGATAATAATTCACAGCCAATTTCGTATCTCCTCCTGCGCCCCCCCCCCCCCACCAGCTTAGTAATTATGCCCTGCCGGGTGTAGCGTCAAGGGATCCCGCAACAGCGGTTAGACCCACACCGCTCGTATTTATTGGCGCGTTTCAGAGTGCGGCAAACACAACGGCACATAACAGGTATACATCATCGGGAAATAAATTTACAGCACTGTTTTATGGGCAACAGTTCGGGCCCGGCACTCGTTATTATTATGGACGAGAGCCATCTCTATATAACATATATACCCGACATACGTTCGTTACACCCGTAAACAATCTCTCCGAACGATTATATTCGGTTTCGGTGTACCTCTGTTGATTTATCCACACAAACGTATGGCTGTATAGGTATATAATACATACCTCACGTCGCACTACATATTATTATAATGTAACGCAGCCTAGATCGCAGTGTGTATAGTTATGGCGGACTTTTAATAAAACACGACGCCCTAGGGATCCGCAACGGTTTTTCGAAACATTGATGTATAATTTTATTAATTGTAATAATGATAAAAATGAAAGTTTTTTAAATTTAACGTTTTTATTTATTCAAAACTTGTACCCATAGGTAACATAGGTTATAATATTTCACTTGATACGTCACCCGTTGGCAACACTGCATGTCGTGAGTACTTTGATTGTTGAAATACAATTTCAAGCTGAGTAAATGTATAGTAAACATATTCTGGTTATCACTTAAGTCACCATCATATGAATTGAGATTTGGAAAGTAAAATACTAAGAGGGTCGTCCAGAGAGTAAGATTACAACAAAACAAAAAAAAAATCTAAATGTGCATAAGTTCTTACGAAATTTGTAGTTACTGTATCAGAGCTATAAAGTTATTTTTTTTTGATAATCACGGGCCAAATCGATGCATTTTTGTAGTTGCAGCGACAGAGTTTGTTACCAGTGTCGAAAAAATACCAACTCCCTTCAGCCACTTTTTAAATGTATCTTTCATCTCTTCGTAGTGGGAAAAACATTTTTAATCTAAAATCTTCTTGAGCATAATGAAATATCGATAATCACTGGGTGAATTATTCGAACTGTATGTACTTTGGGTTCTACTATCTGTTTCTAAGAAAATGAGGTATCAAACGGTGGTACCACGCCTACAAAAATTGCATACATTTTAACGGCGAATGTGCAGAAAAATAAATTTTGGTAAAATCCCTGTTAATTTCATAAGAATATTATAGGCAATGTTTAATTTTTGAAAAAATGTAATGTTTAACCTAAGGTACATAGTAATTAGTAATTACTAATTACTATTTGTACGACTCTCATATAATCATGTATTGTCATAGATCGGGTTGTGTTCGTATCATTATTTGAATACTCGAAAATCCAGACTAGGCATGTAGACGGGTGATGGTCGCTCTGCTTACTTCTAAGCAGGATGGTGATAACATTTCTCTCGTAAACTTGAAAAATTGTATCATAAAATATATAAAGGGTATCCGAAAAACGATTCTGAGTATAGAATATACTGATGTAAAATTTATTAAAGCGTTTAGTTTTTTTTATGCATCGGCAACTATATATGGCCATTAGCATTTTTGTAGTGTGGTTATGGTTGGTTGAGGAACACGTGTATGTGGGGCAAGGATTCGTCACTAGTGGTCACCCATTCAGAAACTAGCGACACCGGCTGATACTCTAGCTCAAAACACGTTAGTGACTGAGGTTAGCCATCGGGCCACAACAAGCCCCTAAAGTGTTTAGTGAGATTTATTTCGTTCACACTAATATATTTGTGGATATTACAATGTTTCTTCTTGTTTTTTTTTGTTTTATACTTTATAGGTATTTTATTTAAGAAATTATGGTTACCCTTGTAACAATGGATAAGGTGCAGATAAAGATGCTGGGATGGTGCACACAAGTATCACAACCAACAAACCACACGCCACCGAAGCTCCAACCATCATGTTTCCTGTGAACATACTGTAAATAAATCGATTTTATTATGCATTCTATATTTCTATAATAATTATAATTTATTAAAAGAACAAAATATACTTAACAAAGCTACATAATATATTTTGCGTTTAAAAACTAAAATAAGTGACAAAAGAAAGTAGAAAGTTAAATCTAAATAACATCCATTGTATAATATGACATTGAAAAAGTGACGAAATATTATTCATAGACTATGAGTCATAGTAAATACATATTTAGAAGACATAAATACTGTTTAAATAATTTTTAAGTTGCATATTTTGATTATGAAAAATGTTAAATTTATTGAAATATGATGTTAATATCTTAATATATTATAATTGTTGAGCTAGATTTTTAAATAAAAGCTATATAAAAAAAAAAAAATATGCTTAAACTCGTAATTTGATGGATTATTAAAACTGATTTTTCTGATTTTATATTATGAAATATAATTTAATATAATATATGGTAAACAATTTGTATTATAATAATATAATAATACACATTCAATGATGAAAGTGTTAGGCAAAAAGCAGTCTCAATTGTTGTGTTACGATTGAATAAAATATTGATGTCTTACAAAACTTATTATACAAATGTTTTATTCACATACATTTAAGTGTGGGTTATTCGTCTATTAAACTGAAGCATTTTTTTATTTAACATATCATTATTATCTTTATATATATAATTCTACTGCACGTGTGTTTGTAACTGAACTCCTCCTAAACGGCTGGACCGAATTGAATGAATTTTTTTGTATACGTAAGAATAACGCCTGGGATGGTTTAGATTTACAAATCATCCCCTAGGTCCAATCAGGGAATGTGCTCAAACTGGGATTTTGAGATTTACGGTGTATATTTTTGTTTATAAATGGTTGCCATTTGTTTTAAAGCTATTATAATAATACTTTTTTTTATAGAGTTGCTGTTGGTTGCCATACATATACATTTGTACATTAATTATTATATTATTATTATATATTTATTTCGTTATCAATAAAGAAATTTGTAGGTAGTTTAGTACAGCAACGCGTACATAAAACAATGCCATGCCAAGGAGGAGGAAATATTGGTCGACGGACTCGGAATTCACAAATAGTCCATAACTATCAGTTAAATAGATCGGCAGGAGATCAATTGACTGACAATGAAAATGTAAGAAACCAGACTGCAATACGAAGCAATCAACTACCCTTTGAATTTTTGAATTCGCTAAATTTACCAGGAATGCCACTACATAACTTGCGATTAAAAATTGGCTCACCTATCATTTTGCTTCGGAATTTAAATGCACCTAAGCTATGCAATGGTACAAGATAAGTCATAAAAAAAATTATGGGCAATGTTCTTGAAGCTACAATTTTGAACGGCATATTTGAAGGTGAAGTTGTTCTCCTGTCACGAGTCCCAACGATCCCTTCAGGCTCACCCATACCATTCAGACGTCTGTAATTTCCAATTTGCTTGGCATTTGCCATGACTATTAATAAGTCCCAAGGTCAAACAATGTTGATTTGTGGGTTAGATCTCGATAATCCGGTCTTTTCACATGACCAATTATATGTGGCATGTTCTCGCGTTGGAAAACCGTCAAGTTTGTTAATTTATACTCCTCAGAAATTGACTAAAAATATTGTTCATCAACTCGCATTTAGATAAAATTAAACAAAACAAACATTATTGATTATAACGAATTATATTTAGAACAATTTATGTTATTTCAAGATAAAGAAGAATGAAATTATTATATTATTTGGCTTTCATTTCATACTTTATTTAATATCCTAATCGCTTGAAATATCATGCAGGGCAACGTCTGTCGGGTAAGCTAGTTTTAAATCTAATATTGTAAATTGAAATAAGAAAATGGTAGAATATTATAAGGTATTGGGTTGTTGTTTCCATTTTCATCACGTTTGCTTAAGTGTATCACATTTGCCTATTCATGACGCCGTCTAACTTTTGTCACAAAATATTATTCATATTACCTATAAAATAATATTATTATTCTCCAGTTACAAATTCAGTTTTGCGAGAGAGGCTGTATTTTTATGTTTGAGCGACGGTGAAGTCTGATATTATATTCGTTTGAAACTACTTTATACTATCGCATTTTTTTTACACTAGGTATTAGTCTGTTTGATGTTTTTTATACATAAATACATAATATATGTATCTAAAAAATCAATTTATACCGTTCTTCAATAAAGCGATCCAACATGCAGAAAATATGAGTTTTATAGCAAACAAGTACTTATAGAACTTTTGAGTGTATAATTATACGTGGATGGCATATTTTGTATTAAATTATTATTTATAATACAATTCAGCATCATAATAACAAGCTGTATAGACATTTATTAAGTTAAAAAATAAAAATATATATTATATTTATGTTTAGAAATTAATTAACTAATATTAAAGTTAATCTAAGTTCGATACAAAATATGTCATGTACAGCGATTCTTTTGAAGGTACATTCATTTTCTCAAAAAGTATTTACATTATTTGAAATCATCGCAAAACGATATTTTTAAAAAGAATTATATTTCTCCATTTTTATCGATATAAATTTTAGTTTCTTGAATGACAGCATACATTTTTAATTTAATCTTTTAATATTTCACAGTAAAATATCTTTCTGAGAATCACAAAATATAATGATTGCATTTTTAACGACTTGTTAATAAGTTATGAAGATTTAAAGTTTCGATGGACGGAGAATTTTAAGGCGTACCCCGTATCCTCGCGACTCTCAGTTCAGCTCATCTAAACTTTAAATACTTATGAGTCATAACGCATTAATTATACTAATCTAAAATGTATTTTTTATATTTTGTTATACATAGTATTGTAGTCGTGGTACAGTTGTTATGTGAGTTTACTTGATAAAATTAAAATTCATTATTAAAGAGGAGATGTAAAGTGTTATTTACTCATTATTCGACAGACGATTTTTAAATTGTTTTTCAAAGTCTATATAATTTATATTTACGTATTAACTACTTATAATCATTTTTATCAATATTATAGTAAAATATTAAAATATTGATGTAACTGGTTGTTGATTTTCAAGTTAATTTTGGATTTATTGTAATATCGATAAACGTATAAACCGTAAAGTGAGAGCTTAACAATATATTTTCGATAAAGCTCAAACCATTTATATAAAATAAATAATAACTAATAAGACTTCACTAAAAAGTATGAATACAATATTTGACACAGTATCAATCCAAGGACTAATCAGGGACTACAGATTCCAATATTGAATCCATACTATTATTGATATATAAATACAATATCAATTAAGTATGTGTTTGTTCTAAGCATTTTTTTATAACTTGAGTTTGTATTAAAAAATAAACTTATGGTAGTATTAATTGTGTGATTAAACTTATTCTTATTCTTATTATGAAAACAGACATGGTATGAATATTAATTGATTAGTTACTGAAAGTTATTTTGCTCAAGTTAACAACAATCTATGTTACGGGATATAAAATAAATCATGCCACACATGAAGCAAATATTATTTCTGCTTCATCCAAAAGTTATTTCATAAATATATTCTTTAATTAAATGTATATCAGTAGGTAATGTTGTTGTATTTTTATTAGTTCGAAGAAAACTTCGTTATTATAATTAAACTTAAATAAGAAAAATAATCAATTTTAGATATTATTAGTAAATATATATGATACAAATCTCATCTACAAATTAACCCATTATAAACTCATATTAAACCTATATAGACCTACGGAATCCGCTGGACTCATCAAAGTTCTCAATAATTATTACTTAATCACATCTAAACCTTTCAGTCAATACGTCCTATATGATCACCAAAGTCTCATTACCCAATTTATGTTTTCAGCCATTCGAATGACCTTTGTATTACACCTGTAAAACATGAGCAAAAATCCTCTATAAATGTTATTACTCCCATCTACTAAATTACCTATATTCCCTATCATCTGCCACTCTCCCAGTGAACCTTCTAAGATGTATAAAACGCAATTTACGCCGTGACCTAACGAAGTACAAAACGGGTGCCATATTATATTATTCATATGTTATTATTGAAGGATTTAATATTATGCATTATAATACATGGGTAGGTATTAGGTAGCTCATAATTAATATATCCATCACATTGAACTGCTGGGAACGTCTGTCCGGTTCCTTGGTGATCATATTTTCAAATAATTATACTCTGAGCTCGATTCACAGTGTACCGCAGTTGTCACGCGTTAAGCTATTGAAAAGTAAACGCCCGTACCAGACGCATTGCACAAAAGCTTAGTCAATATCGTATAGTAATAATAATAATATAATACGTCGTATGTTTGCCCATTGCGCGGCTAGGCGTCTGAAAACAATGGTCTGCAGCTAATAACGTTGTAAATATTAAAGGGCCCGAGGGATCAGTGCGTCGGCCACATTCAAATAATTAATATTCAGCGCCACATCTAGCTGGCTTGAAATCAGAGAGTCTATAGATAATGTAACATGGTTAATAGTTATACTATTATATCACACGATTTGTTGATAAAATGGCTTTGGTGCTCAAACGTTGAAATACATTTGCGCATGTAGGTGGATAGGTACCTAATACTATTGGAGAGGATCGGATTTCATGTATAATAAAGCATTTGCAACTAATTAAACACCAAAAGATAATTGTGTACGTCACAGCGGCGTGAGCAAATAAGTCAGTTTGTTTGAGACAAGGAATATCAAAATTTTAAATTATTGATTTATACTGATTTTTTCGCGTAATTTCTTAAAACAAAGTGTTTGCATTAAATACCAATTTATTAGTTTTATACTTCATGAAATTATAATTCTGTATTTCATGTTTTTTGTTATATGTGTTATAACTATTAAAACTACAAAAAAAATTATTTAATTTTTATTGTTTTTAATTTTTATCGTCACCTAAATTAAACAAATTTTTTATCGAGTCTTCACGTAATTTTTTAGTTTATTTTTTGAT